GGCTCCCACGAAGGGAAACCAGGGCTTGACTTTCACACTGGTGCTGCTGAAACCTGGAGCCTCTGTGTCTTTGCACTCTTTGGCCCTGTTGAAGCCTGGCATTTAGCTCAGTGTCTCGTGGGTACCAGCGCATCTGGCTGTCGGCAGCCTGTACTCACTCAGCTTGGTGTCGGTAGGCCCAGGGCATTGCTCCGTGAGCAGCTGTGTTGGGCCAGGCCCTGTCATAGCCACTGAGGAATGGGTCCTGGAGGGAAGGTCACAAGTGCATGTGCTGCCCTCCTGCACCCGACTCCTGCAGGACAAACAGGCCCTCAAGGAAGTGAGCAAAGCCACATCCATTGTGAGAGGCTGGAAGGAAGCACATGGGGCCGTAAGTCAGGGACGGGACTCCCTCAGGGGTTAGTTTGAGCTAAGACCTAAAGGGCACGAAGGAACATTGCTGAAAAGTCCCAAGTCAAAATTCTTCTCTGAGATCTAAGGCAAACACTTAGCTGTAGTCTCTGTAAAAATGAAAAGAAAGTGAACACTTCCAGCCTATAGTGGCACAGGATAAACATTCCCATTCCGAAAGGTAAAAGTAGGGCAATAGAAAGGAATGTGACCAAACCAACCCCAAGATCCAGCAGGGCAAACATTAAATCCTGTCATTCCATGTCCAGCCCCCGGGACAATCTCTGGCAAGATGTGAATTCCAAAGGGTTTGGGCAGCTCCACCTCACCCTTGCCAGTGGTGTCTGTTCCCTCATGGCTTAACTCTGGGGCTGCCTTTGCTCCCTCCTTGCTGCTCTCCTCAGATGGTGCAAATTCCTCCCTTTTCCACCATCCTGGGGTCTCCACTGTACTTTTAGCTTCCCACACTGCCCTCTGGGGCACACTGCCTGGCCTCCCAGGCCTTCCTCTGAATTCTGGGTGGAAGCCTTCCTGACCCCTTCACTCTTACATTCTGCATGCGTCTAAAACCAACACCATGTGGTTGACACCAAGGTCTGCCACCAGCTGGAGCAGTAGCTGAGCCCTTTCACATCTTGCTGGTGGCTGGAGAGGCCTCAGTGCCTGCATGACTGGGCACAGTGAGCTGAGTCCTGGGGAATCCGTTCCGTTCCCCTGGCTGCTGCTGTTCTGGAGCATGGTGCTCCGGGATTCACTTCTCAAAGCTGTCTTTCACTTTTGCAATTTTGAGGCTTCAAAGGGTGGGTCCTTGATGATTCCTCACATGCCCTTGAACCATTTTCTCATTGGCCTATTCCATAGTATCTGGTTTCTTTTTAATGCTAATCTTTTTGACAACCAACCTCCCCTCTGCTGTATCTTTGTAGGCTCCAACTTTACTGGAGCTTCCTTTCTAGCCAAACTCAAAACTTTTTGTATCATTCTGCTGCACTGTTTGCTCTTAATTCTCAATGTAGAGCTGACTAAAAGCCCCCAGCAGTACCCAAGCCACAGCCTGAATGTTTGGCTGCCTTGAAATTTCCTCCACCAGATTAATTTGTCCACTGCCCTTAATCTCAGTCTCCCTAAAGGTCTCCAGTCATGAGTAAAATGCAGACACATTTTCTGCCAGTGTGTGACATGTAACCTGGAGTCCAGCTGCAAGTTGAACCCTCCTGAGCCTGGTCTTCTCGTCTGCTTTTTCATCTGCGCACTGGTCTTCTGAGCTCTGACTAACATCTGCATCAGGCTTGCTCACAGTATTGAGCTGCTTTTCCAGCCAGCATCTCCACAGCTTTCCAGAGTCCTCGCACTAACCAGTTTCATTCCCAGCACTGCAAGAAAAAACAGTTTCTGAAGTTTAGGAATACTGTACTAAGTATTTTGATCCAAGTTGAGTAGCTGCTGTAACAAAACAATGCCCAAGTTCCAGAGGCTGGTAACAGTGAAAATTCCCTGTTGGACAGCTTCCTTCCAGGCGTGACTCAGAGTCCCTGTGCCTGCCGTGTGGTAGATGTAACCTCTAGTTCAGGACACACACTCCCTTCTTCCCTTGACCCGACGGCAGGGTCAGAGAGCATCTCTTGGAAGGTAAAACGGTGCCTTCGCACCTGCTTACGGTTCAGCAGCCAGAGCTGAGTCACACGTGGCTGCTTCTAACTGTCGTGCCTGGAGAGGTGGCCTCTGGGGAAAGGCCTTTCTGCCAGACTCTGCCGAAAGGAAGAATGATGGCAAAGCTTTGGGAACCAAAGTGCATCATGAAAATGTGAATGAGAAGTAAAAGGCTAAAACGAATATAAACACTTTGTAGGTGTATGTGAAATGTAGAGAAATTGCTGGAAGTAAGAACAATGTTGGGACCCCAGTGGTGTTTAGGGTTTGTTTTACTGTTTTACTCTGAAGTTTCACCAGTATTGGGCTTTTCAGTTCACTAGAAGACTCAGAGGTTTGAAATAGCTTGGTGCCCTGTCTGAAGCGCATGCTGTGCACAGTAGCTTTCAGTTAATAAGATCCAAAGAGATACAGTTGCTAGGTCTTTGTTTGTTTTTACTATAAACAGAGTACTAGCCCCTCAGATTAATGGTATTCCCCCGCTGTGCTCTTCACCTCTTGTGATAACCTGATTGGAGCACAGTGAGGTGCTTGTTACTCAGGATGTCACTTGGGAGGACTTTGTTTTTTAAGAAATACAGAATCTCAGGGCCTAGGATTTAGCTCAGTGAAGTCACCTGCTTTGCAAGGGCAAGGTCCCGAGTTCGGTGCCCATACCAAAAAAAATACAGACTCTCACGCCCCCACTCCAAGGCTGCATCTTAACAGGACCCCAGGATGGTCTGTCCACACAGTAGTAAGGTGTGGATGCCAGGTGGGGTAGGAGGGTGTGGTCAGTAGCATTTGACTTGGCTTTCTGGCTTCATTTATTTAGGCTTTGTAGATAGCTGGAAAGGGTGTGTGGGTGTTTTAAAGTCAGAAGTAAGACAAAAACTGTGTACTTGTGCTGTGTGTTTACATCGTTTTCATGGAGGGAGAATGGGGACAGAGGTAGGGAATGGTTTTCAGAAGTGGTCGGCTAATCTCATTTTCAGGCTTTGGACCCTGTGAGGAGGCTTAGCTTTGTGAGTGTTAAGCCTCAAGGTATCACATAATACACGGTGAGGCAGCCTAGCTTTTATGTGTAAGAGAGATTTACTGGAAAACTTGAACAGTAAACTTGACCTGTTCCGTTCCCAGAAAGCTAAAGAGGGTGTCTCAGGACCCTGTACATGTACCACCTGGGCACAGTGCATGTGAGACTTTTGCTTCATGGGCTTTAGTTTACTCTTTTACCTGGCGGATGAACACCCTGAAAACCTTACTCGGAAGCAAGGAGCACTGGTTTCTTGTCGGTCCTGTGCTGACAGAGGTGCCCCATGCCTGGCTTCCCTCCTGCCACTGGAGCCCCGATTTCCTGCTGTCTTTCCCCTGTGCCTTTACTTTTCTTGGTTTTAGTTCATTGTGCTGTTCTGAGATGGTTTGTTCTGGAAGCTTCTCTACGGTATCTGAGCCTGGTGGGCACAGGTCCATGCTCCCTTGGATGAGGTCAGGTGGTGTGCTAACTTGGCAGCAGGCCGCCTGCCTTCACCAGAGCCCAGCGCCACCTTCCCACCCTGTGGTCCTGAGAAGTTTCCTCCGTCTCCTGTGCCTTGGTTTCCTCCTCTGAGCAGTGTTGGACACTCTTCGGGGTGCCTCACCCCCACGCATATGTGTGCTTCTGACAGCCCATGGGTAGTTGCTCTGCTGGACAGTGCGTTTCAAGTAACTTGAGAAGAGCTAAATTTCAGTGAGTTTTTATAAAGCGTGGAATACATAGTTACAGTGAATCTGAGCTTTCGGAACAAGCAGTAAGCAGATGGAGAGAGCTGTGTGTCCCTGTGAGCTCGGAAAGCGGGGTGACCCTGAGAGGCCCAGCGGCTTTGGTAGCGTTTCTGTGTGGGGAGTTTCAGTTTGCTGAGCTGCTTGTGTTTTGCCTTTGGAATATTTTTTTCTTTAGTTTCTTACCTGTGGCTCCTGCTCTTCCTCTCTTAGTGTTTGGAGGGAGAGAGTATATAGCGGGCTTTCAGCACGTGTATAGAGACAGCTCAGTGGCACCAGCAGCAGCATTAAAGTCCGGAACTTTACAGTGGAGGTACCGTGAGTCTGTGAGGACGCGTAAGGCCTTGCCTGCTCTGTGCTGTCCAGCATGGTAGCGCTAGGCCACATGCACTTAGTTTTTTAAGTTAAAGTAATTAAAAATTTAAAAATTAACTAAAACTCAATATTTACTCCCTCAGTCTTGGCTTGCCACACTTCTAATGTCCAGTGTCCTTGGCAATTGTGGTAGTGTGGGCAGCTCAGGCGTGAGTCCAGCCCGGAAGAGATCCCAGCAGAGAGTCACTGAGAACATGGAAACCTCCTAGGCAGCCTTGCTAAGGAGCGGGGTACACCCCAGGGTTTGATTGATTGTGTATTTGGGGATATTGGGGAGTGAACCCAGGGCCTTCTCCCCATGCTACATCCCTGTCTCACTAAATTATTAAGCCGACCAGCCTGGCCTTGAACTTGGGGTCCTGTTGCCTCCGTGTCCAGTGTGCTAGGATTCGAGGTGTGTGCCACCACGCCCAGCTCAGCCCAGGTTAATTTCATCTTACCCGGAGAAGTAGACCCTTAACATATTTTTCTGGGATTTGTCAGAATAAAGTGACACTGCTCATCTAACAAAAACAGCTTTAGATAAGCCCATGTTCATTTTCAGTGGGAATTTGTTCTTTATTAGTGTCTCATACACAAGAGTATCCAGGCCCTCAGAACCAACCGCGTTGTGCACCAGCTCGCGTGTGCATCACCAGTGGCTGCTCGGGTCACTCTTCTCCTGTGATTTCTTTCCCAGAGCTGTAAAGCAGTCTACAGTAAAGGCTCGTCTATTGCATATTTCTAAATTCATTTTAGGGCTAGTTTATACCCAGGAATGACTGTCCCATTCTTCCTGCTCTTGTCCTGTGTTCTGTTGTTTCAAGTCAGCAAACAGAAGGTACCAGCAAGAGCACGAATGCTCTTCAGTGGTTGGGCTTCACGTCGAAGTGACTTTGCTGTTGAAAACGCCAGTGCGGTTCTACAGAGACTTCTGCCTGTTGTAGGACCTTAAGTCTGTGCCACCTCTCCAAGCACATAACCACAAGAGGGTCTGCTGAGGGCTCAAATTTGTTGGCAAACAAAGAAGGCGACTGAATGATCCACGGTAAGTCTCCCAGTCCATATACGCAGGTGTCTTGGACATAGTGGCCTGAAGAGAGAAATGCACACACTTAGCTGCCTGTTTCCCCACCTGTTCATACTCACACTTTCTCTCACTTCATCTAGAAGGCCTCTTTGTTTCACAAAAGTTCAAATTAAGCACCATGCTGCTTTAGTACAAGCTACATAGCATTTTGAATTTATAGCAGAAAAGGACATTGTCTTTCTTTTTGTTAGTGATTTCCAAAATGGTGGCTGCTGTAGATGAATATGAATACTGTGCACTTGAGCTAGTCATGAACACAGGAAGATGAAATAGCACTCATTTGCCTGGTAAAATCTAAGTTCTCATAGGTTCTGCTTCTGACTTCTCATTTTTAATAGGCCATTGCTTCCCTCATTGGTTGTTGAGAGAGTGTTTGATATGAGTGAGATGATTCAAATGGGAATTACAGTCAGAATCCAGTGCTACTCAGATCTCTTCAAGGCAGACTCGGTAGCGCTTTTTAGTGCCACACAGTGTTGGGCGCTTGCTACCCTCCTAACCCTTGGCACCACATTGTGGGGTTCCCATCAGCACCCTCGGTTTGCAGGTGACAGGTGAGGGCTCGGCTTCCCCAGGGAGAGGCCATCTGCGGGAGTCCCCGTGCTCTGCTCAGCGCCTCCTGCACTGTCCCAGCAGGCTAACAGTCCTACTTCCAAAAAACCTGTTTTAAGGGAAATACCACCCTCAGAGGGTAGGAGCTATTGCAAGCACAAAAGTCTGTGCATTTGTGAGACCCAAAAACATGGGAAGGAGCCTTGCTCGTACAGCGCCGGGTCTGCCTCTGTGAAGGGCTCAGCCGGCACAGGGTCGGGATTGTATACACAGCGGCAGTTGTCAGGACCACAAAGCGTTGCACTCTCAGGAGAGTTACTTTCTACTAGCAAAAGCACAGATACCGACAAAGCATTGTGAAGAACTTAGGGCACAAGTGAAAATTGGACCAGCACTGCCTTGATTGTAGCCAGAGAGCTGTAATTTAGATGCACATGGATTTGAACTGAAGGGAATACGATAAGTGGAATGTTCTCGGAGTCCTGGTTCTGCCTTTGTGCTGACTGGCTTTGAAGAGTCTCTCGGCCACTGACTGACAGGATGGCTGTCATTCTGCAGGCAGTTAGGCTGAGACCTGCCCAGTGGCCCAGGCTGTCACCTCTGTGCAAACACTGAGGCATTCAGGTTGCTGCTGTGTGTATGCATCCTGAGCCATCGTTTATTATCACAGCAGCGACCTTTATTGCCCTTTTACACCGCTTGCACACTATTTGGGGGAAGAATCTGAGCCCCTTTCTTTTCTGAACACTTACCTGCTGGTCCTGACAACCCCAGTGTGCAGTGAATGACAGGCACCTGCTTTTTAAAGAAAGGGCAGGGTGTTAACCTGCTGATAACAGTCCCCTTCTAACTGTGAATGGCTCCCCAGTCAAATCATTATCTGCCTTTTTAAAAACACTTCACTAGAAGTCACCCCAGCACCTCTGACCTGTGGGGGCTGGCAGTGCACAAGGCAGCAGGAATGACTTGTCTTAGAACTGTGTATGGGAGTCAACAGTTCCTGTTTGTACACAGCCTGTTTATTGTATTCATCTTAAACAGCTGGAGTGCTGGCTGGCCCTCGTTTATTTGGCATGTCTCAGGCACCGTAATCAAAATTCTCTAAAGAGAAAGTCAGACCGTGTATGACCTGCTGGGCTTCCCCATGAGGTCTGCCTTTGGCAATTAAAACTCAGGGGAGGGGATTCTGTAGCTCGAATGAACTAAGTCTGTAGCTCCAAGATTTGGGTGAAAAACTATCCAAAACATATACAGTTTCTAGTAGGCTAGAAAATGCTCCTTTGCAGTTATTAAGCCTATAATAGTTATCTTTTTACATATTTCTTTTAGAGACCATGCAAGCAAGACAAGTGTGAAGCTCACAATTCTAGAACAGGCAGCAGACTATCTGTAGAGAGCCAGAGAGACATCGTTTGGATTTGCTGGTCCAGAGTTTGGGTCCTAACTGCTCAATTCTGCCCTTTAGTGTCATAAACGATATGCTAAGTGAATGGTTGTGGCTGTGTTCCAGAGTAAAACTTTATATAAATAAGCACCAGACAGCCAGTGGACTCCAGAGTGATATTTTTATCGTCCATTTGCTTCTGATATAGTGTAGGCCATGGTAGTTTGTTGACCTGCTCTGAGGCATACATCTGTATTATCCAGTTTTGTATTCTAATTGAGGGACAGAGAGCTCATTTGTAATTGAGTTTGAATTGTAGGAGTGGGCAGAAAAAGCCAGATTGTAGTGTTGCTGTTGTTGTTGTTGTTTAAAGACTTGATAAGTTATGGTCCTGTGTGTTCTTTGTGAATATTTATCCACCTGGGGCTGGGTACAGCTCAGTGGTGGAGAGCTTGCCTAGCATGCACATGACCCTGGCTTCCTTCCCAGCACCTCAGAAAGAAAAAAGAAAAGAAAAGCTTATAAACCTGTGTGTTTGTTATCTGTATACTTTTCTGTGTGGATCTTATATTATTATATTATTTGTATACATTGACACCCATGCTAGTAGTGTCCTCACTAATTTCGGGTTAAACATGATCATTAGCTTCCTCCCACCATTATTAAGCAGCAACTGCATAGTTTTTGTTAAGAGTTTAAGGTTGTGTTTTGCTTTTGTTTTTACCTCTGCATCCATCGTGACCCTTTCCTTCCTCCGGTCTCCATTTGATGGCTCGCACATCTCCTTCCCAGCCAGCATCTGGTGTGGCACCTGGAGCATCTAACAGGGAGACAGAACCAGCGTAGGCTGTGGAGTCCACTTCTGTTTTGTTTTGTAGGACTGAGGATAGAACCCATGGCCTCTGCACTGAGCTATGTCCCCGTCCCTTTTTTATTTATTTATTTTGAGACAGGGTCTCGCTCAATTGCCCAGGCAGACCACAAACTTGTGATCCTCCTGCCTCAGCCCCCCAGAGTGCTGGGGTCACATCGCCACACTCAGCACACTTCTGGGTTTTTAGTGTAAATTCTGCACTGTTCTTGGCATTCCCTCTAAGTAAGGCAGTGGATGTGAAAGGCTGAGGGGACATCCAGCTGTGACAGAGATGTTTCCTTTGTCTCATCAGATTAAAAGCTTGCACTTTTGGGAGTGAGTGGCACATAATGCATTGGTGCTGCTTCTGGGGCTGATTGGAACCTCGAATCTGCATCTGTGCACCTAGATTTCCCTTTCCATGGCCTCCCCATCTCTTGCAACTCTGATGTTTGTGAAGTGCAGTTCATAGTTATGTGGGATTGATTCTTGGGGTTATGATTCCTCTTTAATAGCCCTCCGAGGTGACTTGAAGTAGGGCTTGCAGTGGGTGTGGAAATTCTAAAAAGGCCTTACCCAGGGTCAGGGATGTAGCTCAGTGGTTCCGCCGCCTGCCTTGCAAGCGGAAGGTCCTGAGTTGGATCCCCAGTACCCAGTTTCTGCTGGACCCCTCGTTTGCACTGTCTGGACTGATGGTCTTAATTGCTAAGTTAGAAGCCGTGTTCTCTGCAGGAGACATCTTTTTATAAAGAGAAAATACTGAAGTGTATTTCACAGAGGGCCTCAGATTTTCCTCTGCCTCAGAGAACCCATCTGAAGAATTGGGTTTGTTATTAAAGTGCCACTAGTTTTAATCTTTTCATTCTTAAGGGACCTTTAGCACACTGCCTGACATCAGTAGCTGTCCAGTAGGATTTTTCAAGTAAATGAAGAGATGAAGAACTTGCCAAAGATTTATGCTCAGATTTTTCAAAATATTTTATCTAAAAACAACCAAAATGCCAGTACAGTATTTCTTTCAAACGCAGCCATGCTGGTTTGGGAGCATGACTCTCTCTGCTAACTTTAGACATCTAAAACCAAAGAGCCTCCTGTACTCCCAGGTGGGAGCTCTTGGAACACATACAACATTTGTGAAGCTATGGAGAAATAGCTGAGTAGAACGAATCTATGCCAAGACTAAAACTCGTATGGCTTGTTGTACCTGAATAGACATCCATGTTACTGGATCGCTCTTACCTTTCAGTCGGTTCAGGGTTACCCAGTAATGGCGCTCTGGGCTGTGGATGTCCCTGGACCACTGCAGCATGTCCTTCGCACGGACGTCAGTCAGGATGAAGTCTACAAACTTTCTTCTAAGCACGTAGTAAGCACTTCCAAAGTAAATGGTTAAGTTATGAGGGGGCTCGTGTTTGAATCTTTCATTTGGTGATGCATAGATACTTCCTGTAGGGCTGGACTCCGGGTGACTTTGGCTTGTCTTGAATTTAGTAGTTGATGGTTGCATTACTCCAGGAGTGATATTTTTATCATTCCATTTGCTTCTGATGTAGTGTATGATTTCTTTATTGGTTTTGATTGGAAAATCCTCCCCACAAAGATTAATGACATAGTTCCATTGAAATTTGGAGTGGACTAGGTCCTTCATACAGTTAATATCTGCCTGTAGTCTTGTAAGGCCAGAGTAAGCCACTTTCTGTCTCTTTGATGAAATAAAGATGTTTTCAAAACAGCTAACCAGGCCTTTCACAGCGGTTTTGTACTTCTTTTGGGCCTTTTCGTCAACATGAATACAGTAAACGTTTTGAGGCACATAAATAGCTCTGAGAAGCTGCACGAACATGGCCAGCTCCTTCGGAGGAGTTATTATGTATGCCAAGGAAAAGTTGCCCTCTTCTGCAGACAGGGGCCTGGTTATGAAGCGCAGCTGCCGGGACGTCCTGGAGCAGTTTCCTGGCTTATGTAAATAAGCAAGGACTTTGGACCCATGAGGGTTTTTACAAAATTTTGCAATTTGAGAGGCTACCCCTTTTCCTTCAAATAAAGCTGAACACAGTTCATCGGGGTAAAAGCCGCACTCCACCACCGCTGGATGTGTGGGCTCCTCCTCTGGCTCCTCGGGAGTGAGATTCCTTACATAGAGAAAAATGAGGATGCAGATCACTGTGCACACGAGAAGTCCTGGATGTGTGGCCCGAAGCCGGCTCATGTTGTGAGCTCCATGTGCATTCTTAGTACCATAGCTTGAAATTTCTTCCTTTAAGCTCCCTAAAAGAACAACAGAATTGACTTTAATGAAGCATACTAAACTACGTGTATTTCAAATGCGTCATTTCACCAAGTTTTTCTTTGTTTGAGATGGCGTCTCACTGTGATGCCCAGGCTGGCCTTGAGGGTCCTTCTCAGCCCCCCAAGTAGCTGGGGCTACGGCCGCACAGCCATGCCTGGCTGTCCTGGGGTCCAGTTGTGTTTGTGTGCAGACATGGACCGGTCACCAGTCGGCAGGCGTCTTCCTCCCACACAGAGCTTTCTTGTGCCCCTTTAACCTGTCCTTTCCTTCCCAACTCTAGGCAGTCACTGGTGTGCTTTCTGTCTCGCTGGATTAGTTTGGACATTCTGTAACTTTATATAAATGGAATCGTATAGCATGTGTTTTTTCAGCCTTTGCTTTTTTCACTTGTAGTAATTCTAAGATTCATCCTTGTCATTCCATTTGTCACCAGTTCTTTTTTATTACTGGATAATATTACATGTTGTGGCTGTAAACGGTTTATTTGTTCATCTGTTGGTGGGCATTTAAGTTACTCTGGTTTAGACAGCATTGTATACACATCTGTGGGGACAGATATCAGAGAGTAAAATGTCTTGTCATGTGGTAGTGGATGTTACAAGCAGTGTAAAGTCATTCCTGAATTAACTGCCAAACTGCACGGCACAGTGGTGCATGCCTGTAATCCCAGAAGGCCGAGGCAGGAGACCACCAGCAGTTCTAGGCCAGCATGGGCAATTTAGCAAGACCCTGTCACAAAATCAAATACAAAAAGATCTGGAGGGCTGGGGGTGTAGTTCAGTGGCATCGAGCCAGCCTCGAAAAGCATAAGGTCCTGAGTTTGATCCCTGGTACTGGAAAGAAGAAAATGATCTGGGGATCTAGCTCATTGGTAGAGTCCCCCTGGTTTCACACCCCAGTACTGGGAGAAACAAAGAAAAGAAGCTGAAGTGGTGGAGGCAGCAGTGTTTGAGAGTCCTGCATTGTGTGTGCTGTCAGTACTGGTGCGGTCATATAATAGCATTGTAACTATTGCTGTGAGTGTGTAGTGCCAAGTCCCTGTGGCTTTACCCACTTTGCCCTGGTGACTAATGATGTCGAGCATATTTTCATGTTATTCCCATGTATTTATATTATACTGAGACCAGATCTTTCCTTAAGGAAATGAGGGATTATATGATTATAAACTTAAATCTGTTGAAGTAAGTTTCTGAATTGTTTTTAGAGAAGACTTAAGTGATTAAAAACAAGATGTCTTGAGCTCTGGGTAGGTGCCTGCAGAGGCATAACAGTAGCAAAAGGTAATCAGAAGTGTTTTAGTTAATATTGTCTGCAAGGATCATCCTTTGGAGTTTAGGTTGGGTAAATGTCAAGCTTTATATTGTTAGGACTGTTTGACTGTTGAGGAATTGTGACTCTCAGTTTCCATAACTGTGTCTTATTCCTGTTGCCTTTTTTTTTTTTTTTTTGGTACTGGGGATCAAACTCAGGACCTTGTGCTTGCGAGGCAGGTGAGCTACATCCCCAGCCCTCCTGTTGCCTATTATTTAAAAGCCTTTGTACTTTGTACTGGTCATCTCAGATTGGTCATTGGTGGCCTGCCTGTCCGCACCATCATTACAAGTGCTGCTTGGGTAAAGTACTGACAGCACAGCATTTGGAGTTAGCCTTGGGTTATTAAACTTTGGAACAGTCAGAACTATTAATGTATGTTGGTTTTGGATTTTTTAAAATGTACTTATTTTAGGACTGGGGATTTAGCTCAGTGGTTTTGCTGCCTGCTGCGCAAGTGCAAGGACCTGAGTTTGATCCCCGGTACCAAAAAAAAAAAATCTCATTATAATAAGTCTCTAAACAATTTAAATCATAAAAATAGATATTGCATGGGAAGGAGACTCCTGAAAGTGAAAGTAAAGCTTTTTAGGACCTTTGATATAAAGGCAGCTGTAGTCCATTCCATCTTTTCCTGTATTGTGGCTTTAGTGCAGGAAGCAAGGTTTGGGGCTTTTGTTTGTGTTGCAGAATCAGTAAGGCCCTCTGCACTGACCGAATACACCTGTATAAACCTCGCCCAGCGTCAGAGCCCAGAGGATTGGGTTTTTTCAGTGGTTTTTATAATTAAATGAGGACAAGTCCCAGGGGTGGCCATTGTCCTTCAGGTAATACCCAGGTTCAGCGTAGAGCAGGGTGAGGATGGATCAGGTACTCAGCACCATTTTCACGTTGCCACCGAGCCTGGCCCCGGCTCACTGGGACATTAGGTGCCTGTCAGATGCTGTGTTGAGTGACTGTTGCAGCTCAGGCGTGGTCGGGACAGGCCTCGAAAAGGAAGTCTTTGGAGACCTCCCTGCTTTTGAGTATAAATAGTTCTTGCTGTCACTTTAATACCATATCGAGTGGATAATGTGAAAATTCCCAGAGTAGTGCTCTTCAGGGCCTGGCAGGCTTTCCTTTTACACCAGCCATGAGCTCCGTTTTCAGTTTTGTACGCATCTGGTGATTGTTGATTAGTTGTTTGGTTCCTACGTTGCAGTCAGTTATTTAGCCGTAATGAAGATGTATTTATCACGTGACTTTCTATTACTAATTTGCAAGAAACGTAGGTGGTATCTTCCAAGTGTAAGAAATATGTACTCCGAAAACAGCCTTCATGATGTTTAACCATTTTTCCCCATAAAAGTTACGTCCGAAGTCTGTACTGACTTAAAGGCTTTAGGAGGAGTAGCCGCGCTAAGCAGGGTGGGGCCTGGTCTGTAATTGGATAGGAGAAGGAGTGACCCTTACCCGTGTGTGTGGCAGGTGTGCCCGTTCTCTGTGCCACCAGATGACGGTGCTGTCCCTAGACCCCGTCCTGAGGTGACTGCACCACAGATAACTCCTCAGAGTGAGGGTGGGAGAGAGCACGCTGAAGCTCTGTCCAGACCCCTTGTCCCTCTCCTAGGCCGTGTGTGTACTTTAATAATTGCTGGTCTTCCATATCTGCAGCCTTTGAAGGCTGGCGTTAAACTGCGTGTAGTGCACAGCGGAGCCAAATGGCTTCCACGTAGGGAAAACCGTTGAGACCATACATTGGGGCAGCTGAAACCTGGCACCTAGGGTACCACAGAGCTTTCAGTGGAAATCGTGATCAGCTGTGGTCAGGAAAGGTGAGTGACTTTTTCCCCTTTACATAGTGCTGGGATCTACAATAATAGGAATGGTCTCCAGTTAGAGTTCTTAGTGGAATTGCTTTATGTTTTATGTTTTTGTCCAGATACAAAAGTATTGTGTGATGCGGTTTAATTTACTAAAGACTTTTGGAGGGAGTTGGCAGTACTCCATAGACGTGCGTGCATGTGTGCGTGCGTGCGCGCGCGCGCGCGCGCGCGCGTGTGTGTGTGTTTGTGTGTGTGTGTGAGATGGTGCCGGGAATAGAACTCAGGGCCTCAAGCATGCAAAGCAAGCACTCTACCACTGGGGCTGTAGCCCCAGCCTTTCATTTACTTAGACTATATTTTTCTTTAGTTTTTACTTTTCTTTTTAATTGTGGTGCTAGGAATTGAACTCAGGGCCTTCACACTACATTCCCCCTCCTTTTAAGTTTTCATTTTATTTATTTAGGTTTTTTTTTTGTATCGGGTTCTTGCTATGTAGTTTAGGCTGGCCTCAAACTCAGGGCAATCCTCTTGCCTCAGTCTCCCAAGTCCTGGGATTACAGGTGTGTGCTGCCTTTCCTGGCTCTAGTTCTTACTTTTAAAGGTAACTGTGGTGAATAAATAGATAATAATGGGCATCTTTACAGGTGAACTTAAAATATATTATCTGATAGTTTTAAAATATCACTGGTTTATAGCATTAATGTTAATTTAATCAGCAGAAATCATTTAGTGAACAAAAAAAATTTTCAGGGCTTTGTTTATAAAAAGCAGGATGCTTACTATTGTATTTACCTTACTGAGACCCTAATGTGCCCAGAGGTTATGGAGATGGGCTTTGTGCTGTGCTTGTCTGACTCACTGCAGCTGCAGCACTAGAGTTCCACGCCCAGTGTTCTGCTGTCTGGGCCTAGTACGGTGTCTAAAGCCCCTTGAACATTAGCACGGTTTTCTTCCACCGCTTGAGCTACCATATTCGTGGGGCTCATTTTGAACTCAAAGGCTGCCCGACTGCCCGGTAAAATGGATGTCTTAATCACAACCTGCGTCGTCCTAGGACATGTGCAGATTTTTTTTTAGGCATTTTGATGTGAAGAGGAAAACTTCATTTTATGATATCCACTCACCCACAGCTAACACAACATTTTGTTTTCATTTTTAGCACAAAATGAGAACTGAGGATTTGGACGTGGCCTTGAGACTGTCTTAATTATTACCTCCCATGTGAGGAATTAACAGATGATGGCATTTTAAATTTTAAAATCTAGTTGACCTTATATTGTGAAAATAATTCCACTTTTAACTTGGGGGCCTTAAAGAGAAAGTGAGGGCTTTTGGGGGAGAAAAGGGGGCCCACAGATTTGAAGTACTGATTTTACTAGATTTACTGATATTCTAGTGTTGTACTTTAAAGCCAGAAAGGGAGGCAAAGAGAAACATTTGACTGCAGAAATCAGCGCGTACCTGCTCAGCTTCCGCCCCTTCCTGTTCCCCCAGTGCCGAGTGATGCGCATGTGGGAGGCTCCTGTCCCGTCCCAACCGGTGCCGACAGCTGCCTTCCTCTTCCCTGGCTGCTTCCGTAGCAGTGGCGCTGCTTCAGAGTTGCCTGGCAGGCTGTGTTGCCTTTGCATCCCTGGAGAGTTTTATTCTTGTTGATTGTGACATGTAGGTGGGGAAAGGGCTGCAGCTTTCTGCCCCTGGGGGGATCTTCAGCACTGCGTCCCCTGCAGAAAACACAAGGTGTGAGAGCTGCAGGAAACCCCGCCCAGGCGAAGGGCGGCAGGGGGACCGCGCGCCATCCAGTTATCTGACCCCTTTCACTGCGCATCAAGTAAGGTCCTTCTTAAGTCTCATTTCTTCCTAAATTGCTCTCGGAAAACCCAGTCTGGCTTCCGGGACACGGGGACGAGCCTCTCTCTTCGCAGGCTGCACCACGGGACCACTGGGCAGCCGCCCTTCCTGGGCTTCCCTCCTTCCTCCCTCCCCCC